ACAAAGGGGACAATGCCTACAATGTTCCACTTGTAGTGCTCTTGTGGCAAGAAGCCCAGATAGAATCCAAGAGCATGGGGAAAGTTAGTTGCATCAGCCATATGAGTAAAATAGTGTATTTTTTCATACACTGCTCCACCAACAGGCACTGGGCTCATCATTAATAGGAGATCTATTTATAATATAGAAGCTTAGCAGAGGGATTGTCCCTATAGAAAGTTGTGATTCTTCCAATATCATTGTAGGAGAACCCATAAACACTCCAAAAGTTCTTTAGAAATTTGGTAAATATGTCCCTGGAAGGCCCTTGTAGAAATGGTCAGCGGACGCAACACTCCACTGAGAGCTGCTTACCCAATTTAGGTGGCAAAAGCATGGAGATATTGTGACATAAATAGTGTGGTATTTTTTTATTGGAAATGCTCTTAGGTACTCCCCTAAATCGGACATTTCAGGCTAGGACCCAATCTGTCAGTATTGCCATATGTGCCCATAGATCAGCATATATCTTCTGCCGAAAAAGTATTGGACAATCTTTAGTGCCCCAACACCCTCTTCAACCACAGAAACACTGCTGCGAGGGTGGCAGCCTCTTTCCTGATTACTGCTGTGTCAGCTTAAAATAAAGCTTGGATATTTTTCAGCAGGGCTTTGATGACTTCTTTAGTAGAATGGCCATTTTGCTCCTGGGTCTGGAGAGTATATACACTGACCCACACACAAGGCTATATTACTCAAAGGAGTTGGATTTCAGGCACCATCTTTTATAGAGTACTCCCCTGAGTTTGGTGGAGAAATACTATGCTTCTTAGATTTCCTCCCGCTTGTCTGTACAAAAACAGACCAAGCCTAATAACAGTTACACATAGGAATGGCAAGGAGCTTGCACAAGACACATGAGTCACAGACAGGCCTTGGCTCCTTCCCCTTAAAAAAATATTAAGTGAGATAACTTTTATACTGTTTTATAGTGATTGTTTTTGCTTTTTCAATTGTGTATTGCTGAAAAAGAGGAAATGCCTTCCATTGTAGAGTTTTCACATGGCCTGGCTAAGTCTTGCAGTGTAACTACAGACGAAGATGGTATTAACCTACACAGCACTGTTCTTTTCCACAATGACGGATGGTCACTTTTTTTCACAGGAGAAGTGAGTAGGTTATTAAGTGCCTACTCACCTCTTGTATCCTAAGAAAAACAATGCAGTTGAAGTTTCCGCATAAGATTACACTGCCCTGCTTGATTTTATCTAGATTGTGGAGCAACATTTGCAAGCATTGCCTCTGTTTCTCGTTGGGGAGGTACGTGGCCAGCAGCGTGAGTTTAGTGTTATTAAACTGGCCTACCAATATGACATATCTACCCTTTGGGTCTATACATTGTTGTTGTATCATAACTGCGACCTCTTTGTGGATGAGGATTGATACCCCTTTGGGTTTCGTGACAGCCAGAGAGTCAAATTGGGTGGGGTATTTATATATAGCCGGGGTGCGGTCCTTTCTAAAGGAGCTGAGAAGTGCCGGGGGAGTCCCGGTCACATAACGTGTGGGTGGGGGTATGAGCTGGTGACTCATTAGTGGCCTTAGCGGTGGGATGTAGTGTTGCCATTCTATAGCGGTGGGTGCCCTCAGAGGGTTTAACTCCGTATTACATCAGGTCAGTGACCCTTAAAGGTGTGGGCTGGTACATCACTGGCCCGGGCAATGAACTATATGACCCGTTACTTTTAACATATAATACTGATAACATATATTTACATAAAACTCATGGGGAAACATGTTAAAACTTTGGTGGACATAAACTTGTTCTCTTGTCATAAGTCTCTATCATCCTGTGTAAAGGATACAAGGGACCTGCCTCCTTCGGAGGTGGTTTAGACTACAATGTTCAAGTGGTTGCCCAGTCTCTTGCAACCCTGGGGGCTGTGGTGTTGTGTTGTTTTAACTCTCAGTGGAGTGCTAAATATCAAATTCTTACCCCTATTGGAATAACGTATATATCACTTTAAGGGGCAGACAGCATAATAAAATCTACAACAAGAAAATACACATCATGGTGCAGTATGCTTGTAAGGTGTGAATGGAGTGGAAGAAGATGTATGTCCAACTCACATGGTAAAGCGCCTGGAGATTGGCTCAAATCACAACAGCTGAGGTATGTTTGGTAATACCAGACCTTCTCCAGATATACAGCTCACAACATATGTGGATAAAAAAGGACAAAAATCCTAGTGCAAATATGTTTAAAATAAACAAGTGGTCACATATAATAGTGCATGAATGTGCTCACCTGGAATAGAGCCAATTGTACTAGGCTCTATGTATAAGCGTGTGGTGCCTTTAAGGGAGGCACTACCCTTCTTTAGAAAATGCAGGAA